AGTACCCCTGAGGCTGAAAAGTTTAATAAGTCTAATAGAGGAAAGGGCGACGATACTCTGTACGTATTTGCCTCACCAGGAAGCTAGAGAGACCACCACCACTTACTAGTCTCTGGATCCTGCTTTGGGACCTGCTTTAGGACTTGCTGGTCCATCTGGAGGGACCACAACAAACTGTCTTTGCATCTTGTCTCATCCGCCCCCACTGTCATGCTATGGCCACAGTACCAACCACCACCTAGGCCACCTTTCTAACAGCACAGCTTTTGCTGAGATAGCAAGGTGGGCCTCAAAAGACAACAACAGGGTGAAACTGTGCATCCTATTTGGGCCGTCACAGAGAAGAAACCCTTCCAACCAGAAACACCCCCTTTTTGAAGGCTGGTATCCCTTTATCCCCCATCCAGAGAGATGTGGAAGTTTGGCTTCAGCCCTAGATCGTGGAGTAAGGAGGGCGTTTGACATCACCCAGGGTAGGGTGAACTCATAAAAGGACCAAGTCGGAGAGATCAGTGGACTCATGTAAACTTGAAACACCTGGGACCCCCACTTTCTCTCAGGAGGCCCCCACACCCCGGTATGGATGGTTTCTTGTCTCCACTCACCCAGGGTCAGCCTGTGGGCCAGCGGTTCTGAACTAGAGCATCAGAAGTAGGTACCGTGGCACCACTAGCCCACAAGACGTGAGCTGTTTAGGGAGGACAAAGGTCAAGGATGAGCAGGACAGAACAGGCTGGGCTTGGAGACCACCTGCAGGCCGAGGGCCACCCCTCGACTTCTGCTGTTTCCAAATAGCACTCTGCCTGAAGTGACTGTAGCAGTCGACAGTAGCTGGTATTTTGTTTTCTGTTTTTAATGTTCTTACTTGGCAAAATACAAAGTTGGCTCCCTAAGACAGGAACTCAACTTGATTTTTGAAATTTTAATTGTTTGTGAAATCCACAGGCCTTGGAATGCCATATAAATCTCAATCAATCTCTCTCTCTCTCTCTCTCTCTCTCTCTCTCTCTCTCCCAGCCCCCCCCCACCCAGGGTCTTAGACATGCTAGGTAAGTACTCACTGGGCTCCAGCCCTAAATCATCTCCTTCTAGTCTTCCAGCCCTCACCAGGAGTAGCCAGGTTTACCCAGCCCATTTTATAGATGACAGGTAGGTGAGACTTCACATCCAGGAGCTGGGGTGTGGCTAGAACAGGATCTGTCTGACCTGCCTAAGTTCCTTCTCCCTGCCTGGGCCAGCCCCATCCTCCACGGCCCTTGTCCTGGAGCCAGTCTTCACTCTCCTCCATATAGGGATACGGATGCTGATGGAGCCCTCTCCAGCCCCCTTGCCAGGAGCGGAAGACTTGGTCATCTCGACACTGGCCAGAGATCTGGGTCAGCCCGCCCCAGCGAGGCTTCTGCCCACTCCTGCCCACCCGTACTGTCCACGCAGAGAGCAGCCTGGGGTCCTGAATGAGCCTGCTTCCCATGAACTTGCCCCCAGCACAAGGTTCCTGGGTCTGGGTTGAAGTGAGGGGTCCTGGCTCTCCTTGCCTGGCCCCCGGCAATCCCACTGTCCTGGAATGGCCCACACCAAAGGGCCTGACTGCAGTTACTCAATGAGCATAAGGACAAGTTGTTCACAGTGGCCACAGGCCAAGGGTTCCAACTGTGATCTTGCCTCGCCTCCAGAGACATCTGCACAGGCCATCCTGAGCAGAGAGTCCTCAGGCCCTGCTCTGTAGCATGAGCTCACCCTGGCCACACCACCTCCCCAGCTTTACCAAGCACCAGCTCCTCATAGATCAGCATCTGAGACCCAGTATCCCTCCCTCTGACTTCCCACCGCCCCTTCCCCAGACCCTGAGGCCACCAAACCTGTCCTAGCCTTTCCTCCTGCTGCGTCTATATTGGAACAGGCCCTTGACCTGCCCCAGAGGTCGTCCAGGGAGCCCTTCTCCCACATGACTTTGCAGGGGAGGAGAGACCTCTAGACCATCTCCTCATGTCCTAGTCTCAGAACCTCTGTGATCTATAAAGTGGGTGCAACACCAGCCCATGATGTCACGAAAGCTGAACAAACAAGATGGTGAGTGTGACTGCTGGGCACTGGTGCTTAGGCAACGGCTGCAGCTCTGTAAGTGGGAGGCTCGCCCCCATCCGCAGCTGCAGCTCTGTAAGTGGGAGGCTCGCCCGGCTCGCCCCCATCTCCGTGGCAGCCCACTCAGGTCCTGGAGCTCTCCCTGCACCACTTAGCCTTCTCTCTCTCCTCACCTTCCCCACACAATCTAACCCTTGCTGTGGCCTTACCACATCTGTTTCCAGCAGCCACTCAACCAGACTCTCCTGGGGCATGTCCAGGTGCCCCATGGCCACATTCACTGGATGACCCTCAGAGATCTTGAAGCAAGCACCTCCAGCTCTGGCTTATCACCCACATCCTCCTGCACCAGCAGACTCTGCTGTGATACTAGAATGTTGTTTCCAACCCTACTCCTGTTACCAAATTCTTCATCATTCAGGACTGCCTTTGGCTGCAATACTAGAGGCCTAGTGGACAATGAGTGTCTTAAACACAGAGTGGTTTATTTTCCTGGGCTAACAAGGAGTCTTTGAGTCACTATCCACTGATGTTGGTTCTACAGCCCTGGGACAGACCCCAATGACTTTTATTGGCTTTGTCTTCTAAATGCAAGATGGGTACACTAACCCCTCAAGAAACAAATAATGCTTAAAGGCAGGAAGCAGGAAGGATAGAATAGACATCCCTCACATAGCTCCTCTTGTCAGGGGGACCAAAGTCTTTCCCAGAAACCCCTGAGTTAACATCCTCATATGTCTTATTGGTGAGAACTGACTCCTGTCGTCACTCCTAGCTGCAAGGGAGTCTCTTGGGAGAGCAACTGCCTATGAATATAGATGGCATTGTGTCTGCCCTGCTGCCTTTGGCAGAGCTGTGGCTCCTCTCCCCATCCGGTCAGCTGTTTTGCCTGGCTTCCTCTGCTGCCCTGATGTCCCCTCTGTAAGGCCCTCCCCTGTCCAGAGCCCCTCATCTCCCGTACCAGCCTGCCTGCTGCAGGCATTGAGGCTAGAGGATGATATTTCCAAACCCAGCCTTTTTCATGGCTCTAGACTTCTACAGGAAGAATTCAGCTCCTCCTTTGTGCCCAAGTCTGCCTCTCAGGGCCTTGTGTATACTCCCAGCCTGGCCTTCACCTAATTGCCAATAACTCCCTGGCTGAGGATGGGTTCCCTCTAAAGCCGACCTTTGACAGGGAAGGCAGGGTATATGGTTCTAGTAGGAAGGCACACCTCAAGGGCAATGGGGAACCCAGGAAGGTGGAAAGGAGCCAGAAGGATGTGCTGTCAAGCCCCATCCCACAGAGGCCCAGGAAAGGGTCTCCAACCTTAGTGTCCCCCTGAGGGGTAAGGGAACTGAGGACTGAGCCACCTGCTCCCGGTGGTCATTGGTTTGGAGCTGCTCATAGGATGGAGGTAGGTTCTTTCTCTGCTTCCTGTGACCTTCTGGCCTGGATGCTATCTTAGTCCAAAGAGGGAAAGTTCACTGATCTGTACCTCAAGATGAAGCCAAGGGACCACATGGTAGAAGGAGAGTTGACCCTCCCCTTTTATCCCTGCATCCACACCTCCTGTTCTTCCAGGCCTACTGCCTGCTGTACAATGTCTCCATCACCTTTCCTTTCTATCCCCTCTGCACCCAACACCAGCCCTGCCCAGCCCAGCTCATTCCAGGACTGAGGACAGATCCCTCCCAGGTGCAGGCTTCCCCAATCTGGTCCTGTCCTGAACCCTTGTCAGTCTTAACGCCTTGCCCCATCTATGCTTCTAAAAAGGCCAGAAAACACTTCCCTTACCATTCGAGGTCAGGAATAGAGGCCAGAGGCAGCCCACCCTATCACCAGAGCAGAAGGACAGCCCTGAGAGAGAAAGCAAGATCTATAGAGCCACCAGGCTGGGTTTAAGTCCCTTTACCTCTCTGGTCCAGTGTCTCATAGTCAGGAAAATAGGTACAAGCCCACCCACTCCTCAGACCAGCCATGAGCAGATACAGAAGGTTGAAGACCCCAGGGTAGGCTAAGGGAAAAAAGACCCAGCTTCTCCCACAGGCCTCCACACACCAGACCACCCGCTTCCCAGTCATATCGCAGCAGGAGCTCTGGGTTCATCTCCAAGGCCCCACCCAAATGCTATCTGCTCCGTGGGAGGCTCCGGGTAGACAAGACCACTGCCCTCCACTCCACACTCTGTGTACCTGAGTCTGAGTTGTAGGAACTAAATCCTCAATGTGGACCCCACCAGGCAGATAGAACCTTCAGTGGCCCCAGCCCAGCAGGCTCCAGGTGAGAAGCAGCTCCCTCTGTCCCACTGTTCCAGCAAGAATGGTCCATTAGGCACCAGGGCACTGGGGTGTGGGGGCCGTGGAGCTGGGGCTGTGAGGTATGTACTTTGGCCCAGTCCCCATCTTTGCCTTTTTCAGTGTCCTTCAGATTCTGAGAACAGATGGTCCTTTAGAAGGAGACCCAGAGCGGGGTTCAATAAGGCCCAAGTGACCTCCAAAGCCTTTCTCCCCAGACTACTTTGCTGGGGTAAAGCCAACCTTCAGACACCAGCCTGGATGGCTGGAGAGAACATAAGAGCAAGTCTCACAGCCACTCACTCTCAGAGAGCCTCAGTTTCCCTTTTGAGAAGGGGCCAACAGACACTAGTGGGAGTCTTACAAGCTTTTTAAAAATATAAATTTTATTTATTTTATGTGTATGAGTGTACTGCCTGCATGTGTGTAAGTGCACCCATGTCATGCAATGCCTGTGGTCAGAAGAGGGTGTGAGATGCCCTAGAACTGGAGTTATGGATGGCTCTTAGCCACGATGTGGGTTCTGGGAATCAAACCTGGGTCCTCTATAAGAGCAATCAGTGCTCTTAACCACTGAACCATCTCTCCATCCCTAATAGGTGAGTAACAGTTTATTTGGGGAGTCATTAAAAGTCAAGGGCTGGCGTCCCTGGGTGGGCTCGGACCACTAACCTTTCAGTTAAAAGCTGAACATGCTAACCAATTGCACCACAGAGACCTTCTTACAAGCTTTTACAGTGTGACTCAGGAAGAAAGGCCAGTCAGAGGGCATTTGTGGCCCCAGGTGCCCTATGATGGGACAGCCAGACACATCAAAGTCAGAAGACACCCCTCTCCCACTTCCTGTGGCATACACAGCCCACCTCTCCTAGTCCCTAGTCTGTGGTGAAGAGGAGGCAAGATAGACCATCCCCTTGCATAGGACCAGTCCCAGAAGCAGAGAGATGGCAATATGGGTGCGTTCCGGGTCCCTGGCACCCCGAGAGTCATCATCCCCACTGCTGTCCCCAGGAGTCCCAAGGCTGATGAGGGAAGCAGCCTAGTAGTCAAATGCCTACAAAACTTTGGTGGCATCCCCTGCTGAGTGGCACCCAAGCTAGGGTGGGGGTAGCTTCTGTCTTACTAATTGTACCCTGGGCTGTGGCCAGTGTGGACACCCAGGCACTGCGGGGTCAGCACCCGGACAGAGGTGGAGCTGGGAAAGCCCCAGGTGGTAGAGCTGGGTCGGTGACAGGCGGCCCAATGCCCAGGCAGAGGACAGGACACTATGTTTTGATTATTTCCAGTTTCCTGACCCCCAAGTAGTGATTTAATGTTCCTGTTTACTCCAAGGGTTAGAACAGAAGGCGGGCCGGCTAAGCAGGCCTCTCTTGGCATCACCCCCAAAACTCCCAAGAGGGAGGCAGCCGGCACCAGCAAAGGGTCCCTGGGATGGGTACAAGGGCTCTGAGTACATCGGGAGCTCTTGGGATAGACCCAGGGCTGAGCTGAGCACTAAGTAGGTCCCGGGGAAATAAACACTCATAATATAGACCACAGCTCACCCTGGAGAGTGTGGCCAGGTAACCTATAGGGCCTGAGGTTATAGATATGAGGTCTACTGTGCCCCAGGGCTCACTTTGCCTGGACCTCCCGGAAGTAGCGGTACCTGGATAGTGGCCTAGACCTGGCTCCCCTGAGAACTGGGTAAAGAGGGACTGCTGGGCAGGCAAGGCCAGAGGCCTGTGGCTGACTGGGAGGAGCTGTGGGACTCACAGGCCAGATCATGGCTTCTGCAATTCTGCACATGAGCCACTTGGAATACGGCCTTCCATGGTATTCTCCAAGGCTCTGTCTATGCAGGGCTAGGCAAAGGGTATTATTTTTTTATTATGCATAACACATATTTTTTTAAATGACATATAATGGTGTCAGCACTGAGAAATAATTGAAAGCCCAACCTAGCTTCTGATATCTGTCCTTCTTATACCCACAATGCATCCTGTTCCCAGGCTCTGGCCCACAATCATACTCCTGGGCAATGATGGGAGAGGACAGGAATAGGACCTGGGGAAGGAAGCCCTCTGTCTTCAGCCCAGAGCAGCTCCCAGCCCTGCAGAGACCATGGATCACCCAGTGTCACCATCCTCCTTTCCCTCTGTAAGTCACAGGGTGCTGGTGTCACAGAAGGCTGTGTGGACTCAGATCACCTATCGTCCCTAACTCCAGCTCTGAGCCTTCACTTGGCCTTCAAAGTCCAGTATCTCCTAAGGAACAGGAGCCCATTGTCTCCCCACACTTCTTTCAACACATTGTCTAAGGAAACAGGTTGCCGAGACATGTGCAGGAGATACCCATAATCTCTTCTGACACCCAGCTTGACCTGTGCCCCTTTAGTCTTCCATCACCTACTATGATAGGGCAGGGTGGACAGAGGAGTTTGTTTCAGGGAGAACCTTAATGGTCCAGGGGAATCTGTTTCAAACCTCCCACATGGGACAGAGACTAGCATCCACACCCACTGGAGCCTTACAAGGGGTCCCACGGACCCAGTGCCTATTGATTCCAGTTATATGGCTTCTGACAAGTTTCTTGGCCTCTCTGAGCCCTGGGACTCAGATGCCCAGAGAGGTAGTCGGTGCTAAGCAGACTGTGGAGCTTGAGCAGGTATCCCAGGTGACAGCTAATCTAAGAAGGTAGCTGAGATGCCAGGAGCATACACCCCAAGGAATCATAGCTGTGGGCAGGCTGCCCCTCCCTGAAAGCCAGGGGCAGTAAGGATACATGGGATGCTTGAAGTCAGCCCTGAGGCCCAGCCTTGCCCTTTCCCAGTGCTCAGCTCTTCTTGAGCCCTTGAGTGGGGCTAACTGGAAGACAGACCAAGGCTAGAGAGAATGTGTCCCCACCCCACCCCCACCCACAGCTGGTGGGTAGTCAGGAAACTCTGGTCCAAGACCTGAAGATGATCCTGAGAGGATGGGGAACGGGGCCCAAGGCCATCATGGGACCCCAGAAGTCAGTAGGCAGAGACAGAGACTCAGAGACTAGCCAAACCAGGCCAGCAATTCCACCTCAGAGCCAATCCCAGTTGGGAATGAGGGCCATTGGGCCCTAGGGTAGAGGAGAGTTCTGGGGCAGGAAGGGGAGTGAGGGAGAAGAGGGGGGGGCACTAGGACAGGGGAGAGAGGTGCAGAGAAGGATGGGAAGGGTGTGACCAGCACAGAGTAGGGCAGCTGAAGCTTCCTTGGAGTCCGGTCCCTTTTTCCAGCTTGGTTATTTAGGAGGGAAAAACATTATCCAAATCACAGCTGAGAAAACCTGCAATTGCCAGAAAAACCGGGTCAGCGGCCAAAAGGGATTGCAACACAGCAGCCCCGGGGCAGGCCTGTGGTGCCAAGCTGGGCAGGACCTCAGTTGCGGGCACCTTCCCGGGTGCCGCCTGTCCCCAGGACCCAGAGCCCAGCCCCTGCCTGCTGGACATTAGAGCCTGGCTCCCATGGAGGGAGGAAAAGCCAGATAACCACAGGACTTCAAGGTATGCAGAGGGGCGCCTTTCTAAGTCTCCCAGGCAGGGTGGGGAGATGGGGAAGGGGTCTAGAGGCAGGTGGTAAGGGAAGAGCTGGGGCAGGTTTGTGTGATGAAGATACAAGGGGCTGCCCCAGAGGTCCAGGGCTTGTGGGCACAAAGCCTGGAGGAATGGGAAGGTGTGGGGGCCCCAGGTGAGGGCTGCAAGCAGTCACTGTATTCCTGGAAAAGAGCCCCGGCCTGTGTCCACCCAGAGTTCACACCTCCCCAACTCTTCCCTCCTGCCTCAGGGTTTCCCAGAGGAAGCCACAAATGCCAGGCCAGGCTGAGTATGTTCTAGTTCCTAGCTTCTTAAACTGTGGATTGGGACCCTGTCAGGGGAGTCACATAACTGAATGTAGGCAATGCAGAAAAAAAAAAAAATGGCAACAGGAAAAGACTTTTGAATGCACAACCAAATTTAATTAACTCAAAATGAAATGTGTGAGGAATCTGAGATATCTGTAGCAATGCTCACCCATGTGGATTAAGAGGACTTCACCGCAGCGGCGTTCTGAACATACAACATGCGCACATTGTCACAACACGCAACGCCAACAAATGCTACCTGAGACACCTCGGCTCAGATCCGAAACTATTGAACATTGTAAATGGCGATGTTTTAACTATACACATGTTTCTGCTCTTGTAGAAACAATGGTTTAATTACAGAAGACAAACTCTTAAAATCTTCCTGTTGTAGTTTTTCAACATATAAGTATGAAATTATGTTTCTTTTGACTGCATTAGAATATTTTATTTTAACAGATCTTTTAAGATTTGTTTTATTTTTAATTATGTGTTTGTGTGTGTGTCTGCATATGATTATGTGCATATGGAATGCAGGTGCCTGTAGAGACCAGAAAAGGGTGTCGGATCCCCTGGAACTGGAGTTGCAGGTGGTTGTGAACTGCCTGATATGGGGCTGGGAATTGAACTCTGCCCCTCTGTAAAACAGTACACACTCTTAACTGCCGAGCCACCTCTCCAGCCCATGACTTGAATTTCATTTAAAATTCTTCTACATGAATGTGGCTTGAGATTAGAACAGAATTTCTAAAATTTTCTGAAATGGCCCCAAACATTTCTGTCATTTTGTAGTACATTTTGTGTGACACAGCATTGATTATTATAAAATCAAAATCTTGTTCACCTCTGAAAAGCACTGACGATACCTTGCATCCTGCAGTATCACACATTCGGCCAAGATTTAAGTCCTTATGTAAAAATAAGCATATTTGTGTCATTAGTATGTGGATTTGCTGCCCTCTTTAATAAATGGCAAAACTACATGTACGCCAAAGAATTGTTTAGGTTTGTTTTTATTAGCATATGTTACACACGATGATGGGCTTCCCTATAACATCTTTATATATGTAAATAGTATATTTTTTTATATTCACCCCCATCGTCCCCTCTTGGCCTCCTCTCACTCCAGCTGATCCCCTTTCTAGTCTCAACTAGTTCCCCCCCCCCTTTCTACGTTTATGTTGTGTGTATGTCCCAGTGAGTTTCATTAGAGTTGCTTATAGGAATGTAGGTGGTGACAGGTTATTTACAGGACCATGGGCATCTTACCAGTGGTTAAACCACTGAAGAAAATGTCTCTCCTTTCCCACAAAACCATTAACTGCCTGTAGATCCAGGGATGGGGAGAGGCCTGAGCCTCCCCCCTGTCTTTTCTTCAGTGTTTCTTGAACCTTGGAGGGGTTGATATAGATGTCCTATTTATGACTGAGCATTCAGCAATCACTTGTTCTCAGCACTTTGACCAGTTATGAGTCTCTACGGATACTGTTGCCCACTGTAAAAGCTCTAATCTATGGCGATAAACATAATTGTTTAGAAGGTGATCTGACTGGCACATCGTGCTCATTGAGCAAAACAGGAGCAGTAGCTTCCCCACTAGGGCCTATGACCTCCACAGCCATGGGCTTTTGACCAGCTTCAGAGTACCAGACATGAATTCCCTTCTGTGGAGTAAGCTCAACGCCAATCAGAAAGTGATTGGTTACACCCATAACAGACTTGCCACAGTTGCACCAATGGGCACATCTTGCCTGACAGGTTGGTAGTGTAGCACACAGGGTCCACAGGTAGGTAAGACTGTTGATGACAATTCTCCACCAGAAGGTTGAAGAGCACCTTCCATCACTATGAGAGATGACCACTGGG